TCTTCATTTACCTTAATAAAGAGGGTCAATTCTTTTTCCTTTTAGGTAGTCACTATTTTTTAGGCTAAGATATTTATATTAGGATTATGTTGTCCTCTCTCAAAATAAAAAGGAAAACCATTTATCTTTTCCTGTGTTCTACAACAGAATCTAGTATATGACATCTTAAAAATCTTAAGTCTTTCCCACCCAATCTTCCAAGCTTAGCATCACGACTAAGACTAATACTTTTCTCATCATGATTACTTCTCTATTCAGGACTTGTCAACAGATTTGAGGGGGGGAAATGCACATTTCCTTTCCCCCCTAAAAATGTGTTCATTTTCATAATTAAATACTATTCTTGAATTATTGAAGAACGTTCATCTGTATATGTTGTTGTATCCAATTTTTCACTATTTTTATGTGCTTGTGGTTTCATTGTTCTCTTATGTTTTAAATTCCACGTGTAAGTTCATCCATCTTCCTGTACTCCTCTCTCCCTCAAGCTTCCAGTCACTAAATCTATCTGCTAACACCACCTTACTACAGCCCCTAGGCCTTTTACACAGAATTTACCTGCTTAGAATCTCTCACTGTAAAGCATAACCAGTACTAGCATCCATAATTGCATTTTTTCATTCTCTTTCCTCATATAAACCCTATTTGAAGCTGCCCCATCTCTCAAGTTATTATCAAATAACTGGCTAATTTATCTTATGAAGGCAGCAAGAAGGAATAAAAGAGAAGGGGAATTTGAAATGGGATTTGGAAGTCCTGGATCAAATCTGTCATTTGAACAGAACAAGGGGTTACTACATGCTTTAAGATCAGGAAAGGTGTGTGACAGGGTTGAATCCTTTCATCATATTTAATCTGTATGCTGAGCAAATATTCTGAGAAGTTGGACTAAATGAAAATGGAAGTGGCATCAAGATTGGAGAAAAACTAGTGAACAATACACAGATGATATAACTTTGCTTGTGGATATTATTTAAAAAGACTTAAAGAATTCACTGATGAAGATCAAAGACTACACCCTTCTGTATAGAGTACACTTCAACATAAAGAAAAAAATCCCCACAACTAGACCAATAAACAATGTCATTGATACACAGAGAAAAGAAAGGAGTTGCCAATTATTTCCTTTTATTTGGATCTGCAATCCATGTCTGAGAAACAGCAGTCAAGAAATCAAAATACATAATGTATTTGGCAAACCTGCTGCAGGGCACCTCTTTAAAGTGCCCAATACAGACATGTTACTTTGAGAAGTAATGTGCACCTGACCCAAGTTATATGATTTTCAATCACCTCTCACTGGGCCAACTGGCAGCACCAGGATGGATGGTGAAGAGATTGAGATTGTTAACAGCTTTCGTTTGCTTGGCTCCACAGTCAACACTCTTGGTAACAGCAGCCAGGAAGTTAAAAGCATATTGCAATAAGAAAGTCTGCTGTTAGGGACTTTGCCAAAGTACTGAAGAGCAATGGTGTCACTCTGGAAACTAAGGTGCACCTGATACAGGCCGTGATCTTTGCAATCACTTGCTATGCGTCAAAGAGTTGGACAATGACTAGGGAGGACAGAAGGAGAATTGATGCTTTTGAGCTGTGGTGTTGGAGAAGAGTATTAACTATACCATGGACTGCTAAGAAAACAAACAGATTCATCCTAGAGAGGGTTAAACCAGACTGTTCCTTGAAGACAAAGATTCTGAAAGCAAAGATTCTGAAGGCAAAGATTTGTCTGACATACTTTGGATATTTTGCAAGGAGGGACCAGTCTTTGGAGAAAGATGTCATGCTTGGGAAGGTGAAGAGACAGTGCAGGAGAAGAAGATCCTCTGTGAGGTGGATTGATTCAGTGACTGGGGTAGTGGGAATAGGTGTGTTGGAAACAGAGGGATTGGCACAGGATAGAGCAGGGTTTAGGGCTGTTGTATATAGGGTCGTTATGAGTCACAGGCAACTTGATGGCACATAACTACAACAACAAAACCAACATATATATGCAAAAGCAGAACAATGAGTAAAGAAGATGGAAGAAAAATCGATGCCTTTGAATAGTTGTGTTAGAGAAGCATACAGAATATATGATGGACTGCCAAAATAACAATAGTATGTTGGAAGAAGTATAGCTAGACTGTTCCTCAGAAGTAAAGATGGCAAGATTTCATCTCAAGTACTGTGGACACATATGCTATCAGGAGAAACCAGTCACTCCCTGGAGAAAGAATCCTACTTGGTCCAATAGAGAGTCAGCAAAAACAAGGAAGATTCTCAACAAGGTGAACTGAAACATTTAAGCAACAATAGGCTCAAATATACTAACAATTAATGAGACTTAACCATGAGCAACTGCCAAGAGAATCTTGGAACTATTAGCACTGGGGATCAATGTGCAAAGAGAAAGACAGTTGCCATTTCAGCATGGGTCAATATAAAACAGAACAAATGTGGTAAGAAAGTTAAGATGGGAAAGAAGTGAGTGAAAGATATCATGCTACCACAGGCTGTGGTCCGTGGCCAATATTTGTCCATGACAAGTTTAGGTTAATTATAGAATACATTCAATATAAGTTTTATTTCAGAGAGCAGGTTTAGTGATTCATTATCAGTCACTATTATAAACTTTATAAGGTTAACACGAATCATTACTTCAAGATATAATTCTAGAGACCTGAGAATAACAGACAATAGCTCTCAAAAGACAATACCTATGGCATTCAGATTTTCATGTCTAAAAAGCTGAAAACAGCCTTCCTGGCAGGATGGTTCATTCTTACCTAGTTGTGCAAGTCCTCATATTTTGATTCTACTGATTTAATTAATGTCCCAACAACTGAAATGCTTATAACTGTTTGTCTTGCTTCCTTCCCTCAGTAGTAAATTTCCTTCTCTTGCCTACTTTCTCATCTGGTAGGTTCTTTTCTCGTTTTGAAGACCATGTTCAAGATTTCATCAACTGTGATGCTTTCACGTAGATGTACAGGTAGTCAAGGTAGCTATGAAACCTGTAATCAAGCTACATCTACCTACATCCATTATAGACACTGTCACATTGTCTTTAGTTACATTTCCAGTGTCTGTTTTTTCACAGCTATGCTATATTCATCTCAGTAATCTTAGAATCTAAGGCACTGAATGAATGAAAAGACTACTGAATGAAAATATGAACAAATGAGTTCCTAATTACTGTTAGCGAGCTCTGTTGCAGTGGAAAGAAGCTGCACTGCAATCCCAAAGGCACATAGTTTTAATCCTCCAGCTGCTCCACGGGAGAAGGATGGCCAATCTCTACCCATGCAATTTACTGCCTCTGAAAACCTGATCGACGGTCAGCTATGGGTTGGTTCCAACTCAACGGTCCTCAAAACAATAGTAAATAACAAATAACATGTTTATTAGCCATCGAGTCAGAATGGACTCATAGTTGACCCTCCAGCGGGTTTTCAGAGGCTGTAAATCACACAAGAAGAGACTGCCCAGTGAAAATTTACAGAGGCTTTGGATTTCCATTCATTCATTGTTGTAGATTTGTTCCCTCCCAAGGCTACTCCCCACCCCAGAACACTATCCTCTTGGAAAAGTAAAAGAAAAGATTCTTTAATTGTTTTACAAACCCTCCCCCAGGTCACTCCACCATGTAGCCATTGCTCTAGACTCCTGTCATGACAGAAATACCCAATCATATATCTCTTTTAAACAGTTTTCTCCCTCCTCTGTTTCAGTGCAGTATTCATTATTGAACCCATCTTACTCAGTCTCTCCCCAACCCCAAGATCATTCCTGTTCTACAACAGTGGCACCATGCAATATTTGTCTTTTTGTGACTGGGATATTTCAACTGTCTGTCTTTGGGTTCTCAGCACCACTCCTTCCCACTTGGCCATATAGAAACGGGACTAACATTTGCTTCTGTGTGTTCACTGTTCCTAGGCACCTATACAGAAAGTATGGTCACCTGCTTACAACTTAAAAAAAACAAAAACAAACAAACTCAGGATATGATAGATTAATGTACCATATTCTGAACAAAGATAGCTAAATCATATTCTCATGCAATGTGAAAAATCACTGGCAGTAAGAGAGATGCAAATTAAAACTACAAAGAGATACCATCACACCCCAGTAACAGTAGCAAAGTTTAACAGGACAGAAAGCAATCAATGTTGAAGAGGTTTTGGAGAATTAGGAACTCTCATACACTGTCAGAAGGATTGTAAAAAGGCACAACCACTCTGGAAGGCAGTTTGGCATTTCCTGAAAAAAAAACTACACATAGAAATTCCATAAGGCCCAGTTATTCCACTGCTAGGAATATACCCCAAGGAAATTAGAACTGAGACATAAATGGAGATTTGTACACCACTATTCACAGCAGCATTACTCATAATAGCAAGAACATGGAAAGAGCCCAAATTCATATGATAGAATACTATGCAGCACTCAGAAGCAACAATTTGAAAATTACTACATAGGAGAAACTGGAGAGCATTATGCTTAGTAAACTAACTCGATCTCATAAGGACAAATACTGCACAAAATCATTATTGGAAAAATAGGATAACTAGTAAAATGTGTATGAGGGCTCAAGGGAGGAAGGAGTGAGGATGATCTGGGGAAAATCATGAGTCACAGAATTCGGTGGGTGGAGGGAAAGGGTAAAGAAAATGGGAACTATCTGACAGGGATCTGGAAAGACGCAGTAATGGTAGGTATAGTTCATCGGTGATTAATTTTATAAAACACAATGAATGGGAATGCTTGTATGAAACACAATGTGACTGAAGGACAGTGTGAAACACAATATGTATGAATTTTGTATGCAAACCAATATAAAATAAAAATTTTAAAACTTATATCCTCATGTATGAGACCTAAAAGAGGAAAAGCTTAAATTTTTTTCCAACCCAGTCTTACAGATACACTTCTAAGCATTAACTATGCAATTATAAAAGGTAAAATGTAAGATAAAGAGAGAGATTTTGCTTAGTTTCAAAGTTTGCTGATCATACCAAGCTTCAGCTTCTTGGCCAATGCATCAATTTGATTGGTGGGATCTGAGCCCATGGACAGGAAACATATCAAAGGTGTTTTCGTATCACTTTCTTCCCAAGTTTTCTCCAGATTTAAGATAACTGGTTCTGTGTACTTCTCTTCCAAAGAATCTGCAATGTACTTCCTTGCTTGAAAAACAGTACGATCTGGACACCAAGACCTAGACATGAATACAAGTCAGAGGTAACAAATTTATTATTTCTTTTATTCTTTTTCATTTTAAGCACAGAAGAATACAATATAAATGGAGAAAATACTGAAGCTGAAGCTGTCAAGTATTTTCTCTTACTTGAATCCACAGGTCACATAATTTGGTGGGTGGAAGGAGGGGGTAAAGGAAATGGGAAAGATTTGGCAAAGAGACCTGAAAAATCAGGATAAAAATGGGCATAGTCCAATGGTGATTAATTTTATAAAATACAATGTATGAGAATTGTATGAAATACAATATAAATGAAGAATAGTGTGAAACACAAAGTGTGCAAGTGTGCAAAGTGTGTAAAGAAACCAATATAAAATAAAAATAAAGAGAAATTGAATGACATATTGCTTTGGTCCAATCTGCCACAAAATACCTCTTTAAAAATGTTCAAAAGCAAAGATGCCACTTAGAAGATGAAGGCTGCCTTTATGTGGCCCAAGGCATGCTATTTTCATGGTTTTTCATATATGTAAAAGTCAGACAATGAATAAGGAAGACCAAACGAGAAATGATGTCTTTGAATTATGGTGTTGGCAAAGGATATTGAGCATAACACAGACTTTCAAAATAATAAACAAACTCTAGGGGTATAATTGAGCTCTGGTGGCTTAGTGGTAAGGAAATGTACTGTCAACCCAAAGGTTTAAATTCATCAGCTGCTCTGTAGAAGAAATATGGGCAATCTCTTCTTGAGCAATTTATTGCCTCTAAAAACCCACTGGCTATGTGTCTGTTCTGACTATACACACAACCCAAAGAAACGCCTCTCTGGTGGTTCTAATCCACCAGGGTCTTTGATGGAGAAAGATGGGCAATCTCTTCCTGTGTGATTCACAGCATTCAAAACACCACCGGATGGTCCACTATGAGTTGTTTCCACATGATGGCAATGAATTTGAGTTTGAGTCTTAGAAAAAATACAGCCAGACTGTGCTTTAGAAGTTAAGATGACCAGACCTTTTCTCTCATACTTTGGACATATTATCAGGAAAGACTAACCCTGAGAAGGAGATTGTACTTGGGAGAGCATCCAGGGAGAAGAGGAAAATCCCTCAAACGATGAGATGACACAGTGATTACAAGAATGGGTCCAAACAAAGCCAATGATTGTGAGGATGGTGCAGAATTGAACAATGTTTGATTCTGCTGTACACAGAGCCATTATGAGTCAGAACTCACTCAACAGACCCTAACAACAACAACAAAAACTTACTGTCCTTGATGCAGATCTGTGTAAGACAAATGGCAACATTTTCTATGTCTGGATGAGTATGTGGTTTGGGTGCTAGGCAATGGGAAGGAGTGGAACAGAGCCAACACCAACACAATCTGTGGTCAATCTGAAGGTGAATTTAGCAGTCAATTGAGCCAAGTGTCTTTTTTAAAAAAAAAAAATCTGTAGAGAACGTTGTGGGATTTATTTTCTCTGAAACTTTCTTTTTTAAAATTAGTGATTATCTCATAGTTGCTAAGGCAAATAGATTCCTATTCATTAGCAGTTACTAGTCCAAACTAACCATAACACGCAGGAGCACATTAATTATTTGACAAAGATTATCTACTAAACATCAGGCTCCTCTCTAGGCACTGAGGATTCAGTCAGAACCCAATGGATGTGTTCTCTGCCAACTCCTGTGTATAAGAAAGGCCAACTGGCTGTTGACAGAATTTCACACCCACTAAAATGGCTATCATGACAAAAATTGGTCTGGCAAGTGTGTGGAGGAGTTGGAAAGTCAGCACTGCTGACGGGAAGGTAAAATGGTGAAAAATTCTCTGATGGTTCCTCAAAAAGTTTAAACACAGAAGTACCATGCTGTTGTCGTCAGGTCACCTTCTAGTCACGGCCCAGCAATTCCACTCCCACACACATACCCCAAACACCTGAAAGCAGGGATGGAAACAAATCTTTACACATCAATATGTATTGCAGCATTATTCACAATAGCCAGAAGGCAGGAAAGCCCCAGTGCCCATTAACAGACAAATGGATAATAAAATGTGCTATCACCATGCAATGAGATCTTATTCTGCCAGAAAGAGAGATGACATTTTAATACATGCTTCAACATGAATGAGTCTTGAAAACATAAAAGGACTAATAGTACATGACCCTGGTGACAGTAGAAAGATCTTCTAGAATTGGCAAATCATAAAGACAGAAAAAGGAATAGTTGTTATCAGAGACTGGAGGGACTGGGGAGTCAGTAGTCATTTATTGCTTACGTGGTTTCTTGTTGAGGTGATAATAAATTTAGGAAATGGAGAGTGATAATTTGGTTCACAACATAATGAATATAATCAATGTCACTGATTTGTACACTAACCTAGAGTGACAATATTTATTTTATTTTATATATACATTTTACTTCATTAAGATGTTTGAAGTTCATTTAATTTATTTCATATTATAGCTATGAGTTGTACTCAATGGCACTTAACAGCAGCAGCAACATGTACTATATATAGAAGCAGTAGCTTCTACACAGATAGGCACATTAAATAAATGTCATCTTATATTTAGTTCATAGTCAAGCTCTTTGGATTTTTATGTCAGATGATTTGACATAGATACAATTTGAAAATAATGATTAAGAGATAGTCACATCTGTTTCAAAAAAAGCAAATATTTCTTTTTTACTCTGTAACTTGACCAATACACAACAACATGATAGATGGAGAAAAGACTGAAGCTATCAAGGATTTCATCTAATTTGGACCCACAATCAATAGTCAGGTCAGCGGCAAGAAAAAAATAAAAAAGACTTCCAAAGTTCTGAAGACCAATGGTGTCTCTCTGGAGACTAAGGTGCGTCTGATACAGGCCATGGTCTTCGCAATCACTTGTTATGCATCAGAGAGTTGGACAATGACTAGGGAGTATAGAAGGAGAATTGGTGTCTTTGAGCTGTGGTGCTGGAGAAGAATATTGAGGGTACCATGGACTGCTAGGAAAACAAACAGATTCATTCTGGAAAGGGTTAAACCGGGCTGCTCCTTGGAGGCAAGGATTCTGAGGCTCCATCTAACATACTTTGGACATGTTGTAAGGAGGGACCAGTCCTTGCAGAGGGACATCATGCTTGGTAGGGTGGAGGGCAGGCGCAGGAGGGGAAGGCCCTCTATGAGGTGGATTGATTCAGTGACAGGGGTAATCGGGATGGGTGTATCAGAGACAATACGATTGGCACAGGACAGAGCAGAGTTTAGGGCTGTTGTACATAGGGTCGCTATGAGTCGCAAGCGACGCGACAGCACATAACAACAGCAACAACAGCATAGTGGGCAAATCTGCCTTCAAGGACCTCTTCATAATGCTAGAGAGCAAGGATGTCAGTTTAAAAACTAAGGTGTGCTTGACTCAAGCCATAGTATTTTTTCAATCACTTCGTGTTGTTGCTGTTGTCATTGTTGTTGTGTACCATTGACTCAGGACCTGCCCATAGCAGGTGACCCTCTTTTGGGTTTTCAGAGGCAGTAAATCACATGGAAGGAGACTGCTCCTCTTTCTCTGATGGAGCAGCTAATGGATTTGAGCTTCAAGCATTCAAGTTTGTAGAGCAGCTCTTCACTACTAGGCCCTTAGAGCCCCCTAGTCACTTCATAGACAAGTACAGTGAAGAAGGAAGAATTGATGCTTTGAACTGTGGTGTTAGTGAAGAGTATTGACTGGAATTCTGAAAGGAAGAACAAATTTGAGTTGGAGAAAGAGCTACCAGTATATTCCTCTGAGGCAAGGAGGGTGAAACTTCATCTCATGCACTTCAGGTATGTTGTCGAATGGTGCCAATCTTTAGAAAAAGACATCATGCTGGGAAATGTAGAAGATCAGCAAAAAGAGAAAGAGCCTCAATGTGATGGATCGACATAATGACTGCTACAATGGGCCTGGGCATAGTTGGCTCAACAGCACCTAACAACAACACATCCTAGGTCAGTATTGCTGACCACTCTAGCCATCCTTAAAGGGCAGTAATACCCAACAAACAACTTTTTCTAAGAAATGAAAGCTTATCAAGAAAGACAAAAACTGCTACAATATAACCTATAACATTTTGAATGCTTCTAGGGCCTGATCTATACACTTCTTCACCACTAACACTTCAACTTTACCTCACGTGTTCACCAATCTCACACACACACATCAGTGACACTTTGAGCTACTAGATATGTAAAAATATGAAGATTGAGGAGAAGAATGTTCTCCCATTAACATCAATTTCAGACTTTTATTTCCATTTTAATAACCAAATTAGCATTTATACAGTGCAATATTCTTATTTCAGCTTGGAAACTAATTGTCTTATGGATTTGTGAGGTCTGTTTTCTTTTTAAAGAAGTAAATCAAATAAACAAGGGATTTGCTGAATGATAGGCAAAATGAATAATAAAAACATATTTTGCACCATTTCCCCTAAAAGCACGATTAAAACCCCTACTCCATCCCACCATAACTATTCTATTTGTCAAGGAAGAAAGAACTGTCATCCAAAACTGCAACTGAGAAGCATATTCACTTCTCATGGTAACTACAGGGTCATCGAAAGAAGTAAACACTAAGGTAAGATATGTCGTTTACCAATACAGTGAATTATCGTCCAGGACTGATGGCAGCCAGACTCACCTGATGAGTAAAAGTTTGCGGCAGGTATCCAGAGAATCGTTATATCCGTCAGGGATAATTTCCTCCTCTGGACTGTCTTTGTCAAACCAGCTTTTCCATCCTTTCTCATTACGAGATATCTAAAAGAAACAAGTCAATTAGTCAGCTTCAGAAGCATAAACAAGCAAGCAAACAAACAAACAAACCCACCCAAAACAACCAAACTCACTGTCATCAAGTGGTTTCTGACTCATGCCAACTCACCACATTGAGTCTCCAAAGCCGTATATCTTAATGGGAGAAGGTTGCCCATCTTTCTTCCATTGAGTAGCTGTTGGGTTTGAAGTACCAGCCTTTGGGTTGGAAGGCCATCATTTAACCTACTATGCCACCAATGCTCCATATAGGATCACATATAATTGGGATATATTGGAAAGAATGGTGGAAAAACCTCAGGTCATTATTTTTAAGCAGGTAGTTTTTTGTTGTCGGTGGGGGATTTTTTTAAGCATAGTAACACAGTTTAAATTTTTCTTCAGAAGCAATGACTTACATAGCATGGATATTACAATTTCCTTGCAGATTTTCCACACTATTCATTAAATAGGATTGTATTGAAACAACAAATGTCTGGGAAGAGGGAAGAAAACCATTTGGGCCAGGATTTGTGAGCCTCAACATTACCCTTATTTTAGGTCAGATAAATCTTTGTTGTGGGCACAATCCTATAAACCTAGGCTTCTTAGCAGCATCCCTACCTTCTCTCTACTGTCTAGATGTCAGTTAACTGCTTCCTGCCAAGTCACCCCCATCAAAAATGACTGCAGACGCTGCAGAGTGGTCCGGAGAAGGGGCACAAAGTCAGTCTTTGATTGAGAGCCACTAACGCAGACCCTCCTGATAACCAAACGGTTAACGTACTTGGCTGCTAACTGAAAAACTGGAGGTTCAAGCACACCCACAGCTGCATCTGAAGAAAGACATGGAGAACTAGTTCCAAAACACGAACCTGTGAAAACCCATGGATCACCGCCCCTCTAGGACAGTGTGTCTCCATGAGTCAGAGTGGACTCAAAGGCAGATGGTGCCGGTTACTTAAAAACAATGGCATAAAAACATAAAAACTGTGGGGAGGGGTGGGCAGGGAGAAAAGTGTGGCAGTGAATGAATGAAAATCCAAAACCTCTGTAAATGTCTATTAAAATTAATTTTAAAAAACCCCAAAAAACAAAAACGTCGAAACTTGCACCTTCCCAGTGATTCCAGATGTAAGACCTTAAATCTAAGACAGGAATCAATGTCTCCAACAGGCAGCCTCAAATATCTGTTCTTTCAGAGGCCTAAGAAGAACGACATGTTTCTGGGGGCATCCAAAGGTGTTCCCTGAAGCCCAAATGCTGCCAAAATTAATTACAGAATCTAGAGATTAACAAGCTTGATGCTGCTCCTGACCAACAATCAGCTGGATTACTTAGACAGTGTTCGTAAGCAGTTTTTGTAAAGCTGTGGGAGCCCTAATTAGCAAACAGCAAATGCATAGAAAGGAAAGATCATGTGCAGATCTCAGGAGTGTACTTTTATCTCTATTATCCCTCTGGGTTTTTTTCCACAGGTGAAGAATCCAAGGCATAGTGAGATGAAGAAGCTGCCCACAGCCACTCATCTTATTAGCAGTTCATAGGGGTAGATAGATAACAGGACCCCGTGGTGAGGACACAGATGGGTGAAAAGGAATAATAAAGCAGTTGTCCTGAAATGTTTCAAAACTGCCTGTTTCCCCCTGAGATTGCAGTGGGTCCAGAGGCTGCAGCCGGAGGACCACACTGAACGTATACTTGTGTACTATTGCTCACAGCGCCCCCTGAAGGCTTCTTGCTGAACACAGGGCAGAGAGAATGAAGCACGCACACGCGCACACACACACACACACACACACACACACACAAAGTGGGCGTCTACAGACAACCTACTGGCCTCCCACCTGCTAATTTGGGCTTCCTTACAGCTTTTGGATTATCTGTGACGGACAGTGGGGTGATTTCAGCTCTTGCAGTTAACTCCATTTTCTGTCCCTTTTCCTGACCTTCACATGTTAGCATAAACTATTTCCAAGTATTAAACAATTTGGTCTCAAAGGCCAATGCCAGGGAAACTGCTGTTTGAGGTTATTGTTTCAATTCCTAAGACCTATTGGCTGGGAGATTGATTTTCTATTTCTCCCTGCCTTCCCTCCAATAGACTGAATGATGACAGGTCGCCCCTGAACACTTCTGACCTTCCTAAGGACTGGCCGGTTCCCACATGCCTGGCTCATTCAATGGTATAAAAGGAGTTTAAGAGAAAGAAATCATGTATTTATGGAAAAAAACATGAGATCAAATCACAGCTCCACTATACACTAGCAATACAACTTTGAACAAGAAGGAGATAAAATCTTTGGATCTTGGTTTTCTATTTATTAAAATGGCAGGCAATGATGTTTCCATTATAGAGTTATTATTGTTGCAAAGTACCCATTCCATTTCATGTGACAATAACTAACATAGGCATTTAAAATCTTATTTATAGAGACAAAAAGTAACACATATTCCTAAATTAATGTCCATAGGAGTCCTGATGGTATAGTGGATAATGTATTGATCTGCTAACCAAATGTTCACCAGTTCAAATCCACCAGCTACCATGAGAGTTGGGAAGTCCCCTCTTGTAAAGACTTACGGCCTTGGAAATTCAATGGAGGGAAACCACAAGTGGGAAAAGACTCAAAGGCAGTGGGCTGGTAGCATCTAGTCTGCCATATCACAGTAGTTTACTCTTGCTATGATGATGGAAGTAAAGTCATCAGTATGTCAAATGCTAGGAATGAACAGCTGGTGGCATGGTGGGGAGGTTCTAGGGGAGCTTTCAGATTAAGTGAGATGAAGAGAAAAGGCCTAGAAATCTACTTTTAAAAGTCTGAGTGATTTTAGACAAATGGATCTCAGTGTATCTTGAAGAGTTACAGCACCTTAAATCCATACTACTGGGTTCAGGGCATTGGCTTCCAGCATTGCCACCTGATGGCTCCAATTAAAATGGTCCAGTCCAACTGGCTTTATAGATCTGTATTTTTTAAACACTGGTTGTTGTTTTTTACCTGATTCATGATTTCTGCAAATTGTGGAAGTTTACTGAGCTCTACAAGATTCAGCCAGGTCATGTCGAGGATCCAGCGAAATGGTTTGGGCGGACAGGCTTTCAGATCGAGGGCAGCTCCCCCTGTGGAAAAATGCCACATGGCGCCAATGAAGGGAAGTGTGCCATTAGAGTTTACAAAACAGTTTCCCACATAGTAAAAAAATTAGACAATCATATTAATACGTAATGTGGGGAAATGGGGAAATAATGATACAACAAAAAATGGTTAACTTCTTGGTATTTTTCCTTTTAGTGTTTTACTTAATGATTTCTATACTTATAGAAAATATAGAGCATAACTCAGTCAATTCTTCCCTGTCAAGAATTTTGATGGTTGAAATGGCTTGCCTTTTTTTAACAATCCGATATTAAAGACTATTACCATATCAATGAATAAATTGATCTTTTCACGTGCAATTTTTAAAAATCACTTCTTCAATTATTCATTATCCTTCCAGAAATTTGATACTCAATTTTATTTTTTCATCTAGGTTACACAGAAAGAAGGAATTACAAGACAAAGAAGGTGTTTACACTCAGCCTTCTGGCCTCCCACCTGCTAATTTTTACTCCCCTACAATAGAACTTCCAGAGTATCTGTGATGGACAGTGGGGTGACAACAGCCCCTCTCTTCTACCTGTGTATATCCAGGTAGATATAGAGAGGTGGTTCGATGGGTGGGCAGATGGATGAAGGATAGCTGAATGGATAGGTAAATTAAGATAGAGAGATAGATACTTAATACATTTATGGAGGGTTTTCAGGGTGCTCTGGTGACTTAGAATTAAGAAGCTACATGGCAGTCCCAAGGGCACATGATTTGAATCCACCAGCTGCTTCAAGGGAGAAAGATGGGCTGTTTGCTGCCTCTGAAAACTGCCAGAGGGCCAGCAATGGGTAAGTTCTGACTTGACAGTACCCAGTAACAATAACAACAAAGTATTCAGAGTTATTAATACATGTTGTGTTATTGTGTACCGTAGAGTAGGACTCGACCCATCACTGACCCTCTGGCAGGTTTTCAGAGACAGTTAATTGTAAGGGAGGAGATTACCCATCTTTCTCCCGTGGAGCAGCCAGTGGCCTCAAACTATCTGCCTTTGGGACTGTGGCACCGCTTCTTGCCCCAGGCCATTTATGAATTCATTTATCCTATAACTATGTATTGAGCACTTACTGTGTATTCAGTATGTGCCAGGCACTCGGGATCCTGTGGGGAAAACCAGATCATACCCATGACCTCTTGGCTCTAGTGGAGAATGTGAGCACTGTGTTGTATTGTCACACGAATAGCATTCACCATCTACATTTGCTTGCAAACTGTACCCTAACCCCCGCCTCTGAGTATTCTCATAAGGGTGCTATGCTAATTTTTCATTCACATAAAAACATGGTGTAGCAACAAACAGAACTTGGAAACAAATAACAAGGCAAATAAGCATACCTAATGTGGCAATTTTCCAACAAAATATGTGATTACATTTACAGCTTCAAAATCCCTCTATAGCCGGTCTTTAATAAAGTCTTATCATAATAATTCCAACTCCACAGCTGCTTAATTCAGATATATGCAAAACAGTCATTCTTGGACTTTTAAATCTCATAATCTTCCTTAAGAATTAATCAAATCCTTACACTTCACAGATCAATATATCTTGGGTGAAAGGAGAAGGGAGGAGATTACAGGTCTGTGTTCTCTCAGCCCAGCACACTCTGGAGAAGATGTGTCAGCTAACATACTGCTGTCAGGTAAACATCTTTGTATTGGGGTCAGCAGCTCTGCGTGTCACACACCATTAGAACCTGTAAACACTCCTTTCATGATTCTCTTCCTCTGCAACCCCATAAACGACAAAGCCCTACTCTAACACCATCAATTTGTGAGAAAAGAACATTATGCTAGTTAAAGCGGTTGTTGTTACTATTGTTATGTGCCATAGAGTCAGGACTAACTCACAACTGAGTCTCCAACAAGTTGTCAGAGGCTCTAAATTGCACACGAGGAGACAGCTCATCTTTCTCCCATGAAGAAGCTGATGCATTTGAACCACTTGTCTTTGAGGTTGGCAGTGCAACTCTTTACCCACTTGGCTATGAGGAAAACCATCACCGAGAAAGATTGACATAATAGCCAAAACAATGGACTCAAACATATAAAAAATCGTGATGATGGCACAGGATCTAGGTAATAGTTTGTCCTGTTATACATAAGGTCACTTTGAGTTGGAAGTCAATTGGACAGATCTAACAAAACAGCACCATTACAGCTAATTTGCAGAGCTACTGGGAGGAGCTATCTGCATGCAGACTTAACTGATCCTGTTTGTTTAATACAAACATCTCTTTTCTTCTTGAGTATTTCCAAAGAAAGGTTTTCATACATTCATATGCCTCAGGGACATCAGATGACATTAAAGTTACTGCACAGTTTCCAAATGTAGCCTGCACCTACACATAGACTAATGGAACAGAATTGAGAACACAGAAATAGACCAAGCTTTCTATGGTCAACTGATATTCAACAAGGAAATAAAACTTATCAAACAGGGAAATGACAACCTCTTCAACAAATAATGCTGGCAAAAGTGGACTGCTACCTGCAGAAAGCTGAAACAGGATCCACATCTCACACCACACACAAAAATCAACTCAAGGTGGATCAGAGACCTGGGAGTAAAGCCAATAACCATAAAGAACATCAGAGACAAACTGGGATCAAGTTTAGAAGGCCTAGTCTATGGTATAAAGAAACTGACAAATATAGTCAGAAATGCACAATCTGAAGAGGACAAAGTTGACGAATGGGACCTTCTAAAGATTAACTCCCTGTGCTCATCAAAACGTATTTTTTTTCCAAAAGGGTGAAAAGAAAACCTACCGACTAGGAACATACATTTGGCAATACCATCTCAGACAAAGGTCTCATAACAAAGGTTTACAGAATATTTCTGGGTGTCCACAAGGAAAAGACTAATCATATAACTACAAAATGGACAAAAGACATAGAAAGAATGTTCACAGAGGAAGATATTAGAATGGCCAACAGCCACATGAAGAAATGCTCCAAATCACTGGCAATAAGAGAAATGGGAATCAAAACCACAATGAGACACCATCTCACCCCAGTAGCAGTGGCAAAGTTTAACAGGACAGCAAGTATTAAATGTTGGAGAGGATGTGATGAGATAGGAACTCTTATACATTGTTGGTGGGATTGTCAAATGGTACAACCATTCTGGAAGGCAGTTTGGCACTTCCTCAAAAAGCTGAACATAGAAATTCCATATGACCCAGCTATTCCACTTCTTGAAACATACCCTGAGAAAATGAGAACTGAGGCACAAACGGAGACTTGTAGACCAATGTTCATAGCAGCATTATTCACCATCACAAGAACATGGAAACAGCCACAAATGAATGGATTGGGAAATTAAGGTACATTCACACAATGGAATACTATGCAGCAACATAGGAGCAATGGTCTTGTAAATTACTGCCTAAGTTGGGAGGGACTGGAGAGCATTACATTCCATTAACTAGCTCAGTCCTTAAGGGCAAATACTATATAAAACCATTATTGTAGAATTAGTATGAGGATCCAAGGAGGGGGGTGGAAGCAGAGGGGTGAGGATGAGGGGAGGAGTAATCATGGGGCTGCACAATTTGATGGCTGGGGGTGGTAAAGGAAATGGGAAAAATCTGGTATTAAAAAACAATGTATTTGAACTTTGTAAAGAAATCAATATAAAATTTTTAAAAAGAAAGAAAACAAAACAAAACAAAGTATATTGTCTGCACCTAAACCAACATCTTGTTGTTTTTGTTGTTGTTATGTGCCTTCAAGTCACCTGAGACTCAAAACCCATCCTATCCCCCACCAAAATACCCCATTTCTGTTATACAGCTGTGCTGTATAAACTTGAGTCTCTCTCAGTTTCCTCATCTGCCAATTGAGTGTAATAACAACATTCCAGATTGGTTTCTGTGAAGAGTAAATAAATTAATGTGTGTAGACAGCTGAGTACAATATTGGCACATGGTAAGAAGCTATGAGCTCTGGTGGTTTAGTGGTAAGGAATTGCACTGCCAACCCAAAGATAACTGATTTGACTCTATCAGCTGTTTTGCGGAAGAAAGATAGGTAATCTCCCATGTGATGTGCTGCCTCTGAAAACCCACTGGAGGGTCAGCTACAGGTCCATTATGAAGGTACACAACAACAACAACAACATGCAATTGTTCTCTGCTATGTCTCATTGTTTCTCTCTCTCTCTCTCTCCTTCTACTCCAGGACATCTAGGGCCAGTCTAATGTGGAAGGTAAGAGCAGACCCTTGAGGTATCATTTTTTACATGTCTGTGACAAAAGAAAGATAATGTTTTTTCTAAAATAAGCACATAGGGAAAATAACACGTCCATCATGTCATACTGCTGGCTTGCCCCTGGTGTCCATTTCATTTTTAAAAGTGTCCTGGCATTCTCAATTGAAGAATAAAGTCAAAGTCACCTTACAAATATTGCAGAAAAGCAGTAGTGATTGATAAAAAGGAACTGTCACTCTTGGGAAATCAACCTCTTCTGCCATGATATGTCTCTGTCTTCCTTTCCCCTAATCACTGAGTTCAAAATAATACAACAGATCTACGCTTGAGGAGTCCTATTTGTTAAGTTTGTATATAGGGCAGGGAAAGTTAAATAAAAGTAAAGTCTTTTGAAAAGTCTTTGAAAAAAAATTCTGTCAAAAGGCAAGCCTGTTCAAAACCAATACAACTGAACAATAAACCAGTTTTGCTTTAAAGATTATTTTCCTACTGAGTCGATAGCACTCCTGTCAATCAAACTATCACACAAATCTCAGATTAATCTTCAGAAAGCACTCCTCTGTTCACACACATCCCTGCTCATAAAGCACAGATGGCTCCCTATTGCCAGCAAAATGAAATCCAAATCTTTCACTAGTGATCCTACCTTTGTACAAATGGTTCTTTCTGACTATACAGTTTTATGTTCCAAATGGGTCTCAAATATACTCCCACCAAAATTGAGATGTATAGCTTTCTCTACTTTTCTATAACAATCTAACCCTCCTCGTGAATTTTTCCCATTCTCCTGTCCTGTTTCTCAGTCACCTTTTATTTACACACACCTTCAAAGACCCCAGTCACTTTCAGGTGATAACTCTTGTTGTATTCACTGAGTGGGGAGAGGTGAGTCTGGGGCAGTGGTGTCTCGATGGGAAAGAGGCCTCAGATCTTCATGCTGCCCTCTACTTTGTCTGTCATGAGCTGGGCTCCCGGTACTGCATCCTCTGAACTACATGTGCTGTCAGATGTGCTGTTGTCCACAGCACAAGCACCTGGTTCTGACTCTTTGTCTCCACTTATACAGCCCCCTTGTCCTGAAATCTCTGGGTTCAGACACCAAGCTATAGATATATTCTAGCTCTTTCAACATTTCCATGTAGCCTCTTCCTGCTTGCCAAAGCCTAGGCTCATCTACCTAGCCATTCTTCTGCACCTGCACTCCAATGCTACTTCCATCTTTTGTTAGAAATGATTCTGGGGGAAAAAATGCAGGGGCATCTCCTATCCAACTGTTTTTTCAGCAACTCCCTTGAGGTCTACCCTCAGGAATGTATTTCTTATAGTTGGGAAGACTTCTTGAATAAGAATTCCTTGAGCCTCTCTCTTCCAATTGTATGCATGTCTACCGCATTAGTCCTCCTTAAAAGTAAACACCAGCCTTGTCATTACGTTGCTCAGTACCTTTCAATAACTTCTTGTTTATTATCAAACCAAGAAAATATTTCTTCTAGGAATCAAGGCCCTCCATAGGGTGTCACTAATTCACAAGTCTAGTCCTCCCCATATCACAATAGACCTTCACACTCCAACAGTGACAGGTAGCTAGCGCTGCTGTAACACAAATAACACAAAGGGGTGACTTTAAAGATCAGAAACTGGTTTTCTCATTGTTTTGGAGGCTGAAAGATCAAACTAAATTCTTGGTAATACTGATTACTTCCTTGTCATTAGCCTATGAGTATCTCTATGTCTCATCCAATCTTTTCATTATTCAAAATAGAGTTAGAACTCACCCGACTCAGGTATGATCTAATGAATATAACCAAGAAAAGTCTGTTTTCAGACAAAATGATATGAATAAGTGTAGAGGTTATGATTCTAACATATCTTTGGGACAAACTGAAGGACATGCTCACATACACACTTCAAATCTTAGCACCAACAAAACTAGACTGCTTTCTGTAACATCTTAAATTCAGATCTTGGTTCATCTCAAATGTCTCTTTCTTTTTGTAAGAGAAGGCAGCAAATGTTGTATTAAACTATAACACAGAAAGCAAAAGACATAAGAAAGAGACCAAAACATTATTTTCCACATATCAAACAATATCCAAAACTCCTGACTTAACCCACAAAGGTCTATTTCCAAGATATTTTATTTAAATCTCACAAACCACACATAATTTCTTCTGCCTTTTAGACCTAATAATGCCTTCCCTTTATCATTCTTAGAACACTTAGGCTCTTCTTGTTTTAGATTATTTTAAAAATTATTTCCATCTTCTTTTAAAGCATCACCTGTTTATTTTCAACACTTACATGGTGGGTTTACATAGTATGTACTTAAAAAATACTTAATTTACATGAAAATATTTTTCTTAGTCTTATTAATTATACTTTTAAAATTGAGATAAGCAATTAATAGGATCCATTTCAATATGAAGTACAAGTTGACCTTTCTTGACCACCCTAAAATTCATCATGGGAGTTCTTGAAGTTGCACTGCTAACCCAAAGGTAGGGGTTCAAATCTATCAGTGGTTTCCTGGGAGAAAGACGGACAATCTCCTCCTGTACAATTTAAAACCTCAGGAACCCACAGAAGGATCTGCTATGAGTTTGTTAAGAGTTGAAAAATCATGATACTCCCTTGCTTAAAGGACTGGGCTCTATGCAATAGATTGCTTGGTTACCAGAAAGCACTGTATTTAATTTTCAGATCTGAAAATTTGGTGAATCTGTTTGACTCAGCAAAAGGCCTTGAAATCTACTTTTGAAATATCACAGACTTAGAAACCTGGGATGTGGGGTTCTACCGTGGCTCACATGGAATAGTCACCAATAGGAGTCGCCCAATGTTTAGGGTCTGGTTTGTGGTTTGGGTTGTTTTGGAAGGGTTATTTTTATTTTTTAAACCAAGGGCAATAATGACCAAACATAATTTTACTATAAAACTGAGAATCACAGAATTAGCACAGACTTGAAATAACTCGTCTTGAGTAACCAAAACAAATGTATAGAAGTCTGTAGGGGTTGGGAGGAGGTAAAGAATTTAACTAACATGCAATTTCTCTAATGTATTATACAACGGGGTTCATAATATATCAAAAATCATGTTATCTCTATACCACACTCACATTCCCAACACTTTACCTTTAATGAGAGCCTGGAATTCTTTGTGCTTAACTGTTCCTCTCTGAAGATCGATCTTCAAGGTCATAAGCAGGGCAAAGAGGAATTTGTGATTTTCATAGAGGCCTCTGACTGAATATGTAAAAACTTCATAGGTCAAAAACTCAATAATGTTTGTAATTCTCTTTTGAGGTAGTGGGGATTTTTCAGATCTACAATACATTTTGAAAAGCCAAAGAGATAAAAATTTCTAAAAAAACTAGAAAGACAAACACAATTATAAGATACTGCTTTGGGATAAAAGCAGAGAGGGCCCACCTGGCCATGGACTGGTCAAACAGCTTCAGGAACTGGGCCAAAGAGGTCTGGTACATAATGTTGACCATGCTCATCTCTGTGATGAGGAAGTAGAGTATGCTTCCGCGGGTCGCTGCGGGCCGGAACTCTTCCTGGGCCATGTTAATCTTGATTTCAGTCTCTGCAGCCACATGTAGCTTTTCACTCACTTCAGCTGCTGTCTGTTTGGTGGTTCGGAGGACACCAATGAGAGATTCATCATCCACCAAGGAACCTAAATGTCAAAGAGGAAAAGTATAGACTTCAAGATGCAAGAGCTACAAGGCAGGATGCATTGTTTCTGAAATTGTCTGGGGTTATTTTTCAGCTTTTTAAGGCTCACAAGCTAGAAGAGTAGACCCTCAAAAAAAATCACAACAAACATCTACTGCCCCTCTTAATATGCCTCTTGCAGGATTATCCCTCATTCTGCCTGAAAATCTCCTGTAAACGGAATTCTCAAGGCAGCCTATGAGATGGGTCTTGAAATACTAAAAATAATCACCAAGGTTTCATCCACTCCCACTGATTTAGCTCTGTGACATGGTTTTCACTTCAGTAGCACTTTGGTGGTTCTCTTCAAAGTGTCATCAACTCATCCCTCTGGCTTTTCTTGTGGTACCAGTTGAACACTACATGCAGGGCTGACCTACGTAAGTGAGCAATACTTCCTCTATTCCAGCTGCTCTAGGAGATGAGTCTTTGCCACCCTGGACACACTATGTTTCCAAAAACAGGAAATTTGGAGACAATCTCTCTCTAGCTATTGGCCAGCCCTTGGGGGAAGAGAAAATTTTATCTTTAGTTTTACCTTTCATTATTGCTTTTAGATATAGTACATGCTCATCATAGTAAACTAGTTTTTGAGATGCATGTAGATACATGGACATTAATGAGCTAACATGACCACAGTGTCTGCAAAGATCGTTCTCCAGCTTGCCTTAGAGTTCTAGATGACTTCCTGTTGTTGTTAAGTGTCACTGGGTCAAGTACAATTCATAGGGACCCTGTGAACAACAAATTTGAACTCTGCCTTATCTTGTGCCACCTTATCATCTCTGACAAAATATTTGAGTCCATTGCCACAGTCACTATGTCAATTCACTTCATTGAGGGTTGTTCTCTATTTCGCTGGTCCTCTACCTCTCCTCATTTTTTAGTGACTTCCCCTTGGGCTCTACCTCTAGTATTTTGTCTAACAGTGTTCCTCTAGTATTCATAGGGGTTTTGAAGTCCTGTTATTTCAGAAATGGATAGTCAATCTTCCTAGTCTGTCCTAACCTGGGAGCTCTGCTGAAAGCTGTCTACTGTGGATGATCCTGAGGGCACTTTAAACACCATTAGTATAACTTTCAGCATTACAGCAAACAGACAGACATGTGCTTCACTGATAAGAACAAACTATATATAAGGATACACATAGAGGAAGGTGCCAGGTTACCCCAAAGGGTGTGCTTTACCTACTGTGGACATCCAAACTGATCAATCAGATGGGAAAAAGATCTTGCTCTGACACACACTTGATCCGATCACCAGAGGGGGCCTTCAGCTCCCTTTGTTAATTAATTTAGAATGCCCAGAGGGCTCTCAAATGGCTGGGAGAAGTCACTGGACCAAGAGACAGACAATTTCAACAGATGGGATACCATAAAGGTAGATAAAAGGACTTTTAACCTAGCTCACCTTAAAGTTAGTGCTAGGAGCCACTGTAGAATAATACAAAATATACTTTCAAAGGTAAATTTACTTTCTTTTAATCCAGGGACTAAAGTTTGAAACTGTTCATCATCACACTACTAGTAAAGGATGGAGCACTGGTGGAACAGTTCACAGGAAGTCGTGCAGCTAACTCAAAGATGACACCTGTGGTGGTTTGAATCCACCAGTGGTCCTAGGGAGAAAGAAGAACAATCTTCTCCCATATATTTTGTTTTGTTTTGATTTTTCATTCACATTGCATTTCATATAATCATTCCCAGGCATCATCATGTCTATGCCCACTATTACCCCATCTTTTCAGATCCCCAACTGGATCCTTCCTAATTCCTTCACCCTCTCCCTCTACCCACTAAACACTGTGACCCCATGATATCCCTTCTCCTCACCCTCTGCCCCCTGCCCTCTCCCATTCCCTCTCTAGATATCCATGTACATCTTACTAGTTATCTTATAGCTTCTGAAAGCCCCTGGAGGATCAGTTCTGAGTTATTTCCAACTTGAAAGCAATGAGTTCAAATTTTCTTGTGTGTAAAGGATGGGGAATTTCCTGGGTGGTGCAAATCATTAACTAGATGAAAAGTTGACATTTCAATAACCCGCCAAGGGCTCTTGAGAATACAAACTTGGCAATTTTTTTTCAGACGCTTAGTATTGCAAGCTCTCTAGGGCAGTTCCACTCTACACTGGGTCAGCATGAGTTTGAACCAACTTAACAGAAATTAACTGTGATAAAAGGGTAGAATGTAAGTTGCTATTGTTTGCCTACTACAAAATAATATCATGCCTATAAATATATCTTCTTCAGAAAAAAATTTCTCCTATATACTGTGACAGTGATGTGTCAAATGCGATAATGGTTACCCACGGTGGACAGTGTTTGGTGGAGCTTCCTGATTAAAACAAGCTTGGAAGCAGGAGTGGCATCCACTTCTGAAATGGTTTGCCTCCAGAAACTTTATGAACATGGAGAAATGACAAAAGTTATACAAGTGTTCAGGTCTTATGTTCATACGGTCGCTATGAGTCGTCTACGACTTGAGGGTACTTAAAAACAACATATGATAGAGTGAGTTAATGATGTTATATACCATCAAATCAGCTCAAATTCTTCCAATTGTATATTCAACAGAACAAAACACCCTTCATCCTGTGTCATAGCCACAGCCTTTGCTGTTGTTGGAGCTCACTGCTCCAGCCACGGTGCCAATCCATCTTGGTATTTGTCCTCCTCTTTTTAGCTGACCTCCTTTACCAACCATCATGTCCTATACTAGATACCACCATGCAAATGGAAGTGTGGCACAATTATTCATCCACCTTAAGAAGAATCTATCCCTAACTTCTAATCAAGAGAAAATTCAAGTCAAGAGTGACCTGGGCCTTTGATGCACAAGTACCTTTAACACTGATTAAACACGTCATAACACAATGAGGTAACTGCATTTCAACACCATATGAAAAAGTCAATCAAGGGGGGAAACATAACTTGAGCAGATTAGTTTCCTTTGGGCAAGCAAATTAGCCCATTATGAGTTACCTAACTCTGTTGGGAATCTTTATTTTCCTCAGGAGAGAGCAATTATATCAAGAAAACTGTGTTATTCTCAAATGCTCAGTCTGTTTGCTAATTCAAAAATCAGATTCCCTGCAGTCATACTCTTTAATGTCTAGATGGAAATTGCCTTGCTTATTTTGGCATTGATAACCTGGCTGCTTCTTAGCATCTATAATCATGAGGACATTGGAATGAGTTTACCAGGAACCCATATCCAGAATCTCTTACTGGATTACTTCTTAATAATGCATTACCTTTCGTAGCACTTAATTTATAGAGGAGGTTATCTTCAAGTTCTTTCATCTTCCGCTTATTAAAAGTAACATCCTCTAAAAGTTTAACCCTCTCAGATTCTAACTCCTGTCATTAAGAAACAAACAAAGATAACATGAGAACTGTAATTACCAAGCACTATGCCAACTCCAACTTAATCATGCTTATTATCAATTAGAAAATGTTTAACTCCAACTGCTATTTAAATGGTAGAGGGGGAAATGACGATTATTTGCCAAATCTAGCAATCTTTATATTTCTTCCTTTAGATAGTTTTTTTTAAAGTTTTACCCACTATTATTAGGTTTCCGTAGTACTTATACTGACATGTAAGAGATATATCTGCCAGAACTATTTTGACCAATTATCCACAGCTCTTTTCCTAGCTCTAGGTTTATTAAGAGGGCGGTATTCTCATGGAGCTGTTCCCACACTGCCTCTGTGCTAATTTGATTTGCAGTCAGAAGTGGTAGAAACAAAGAGGCCTTAATACTGGGAAACCAAGGGGGTTACACAGGCCAAACATGAGCTTGAATCTGCCCACCACAAAACAGGTGGCTTGTTTGGCACTCTACTTGCCAATTCAAATTCACTTCCTGTTCTATTTACTGTTTCTTATACAGGAGGAGCTTAATTGAGAGTTTACCAGGTTTCCCTTTTCATACATCATTGATTTTTTAAAAATTGTATTTTTTTACATTTCAAAATTTCAACAAATATTCAGAAAAGTTTAAGACTAGTATGATGAGCTCTCCTATAACCTTCACCTAGACTCATAGGTCAATGTTGCTATGGTTATTTTTTTAGTCATAACTTACTCAAAGCAGCCCCTCTCCAGTATGTTTTCAAAGGCTATTAAGTCTAATGTGATTATTCATCTGTCTCCCTCAGAGCAGCTGGTAGATTTGAACCAGTGTCTTTTTTAAAAAAAAATTCTTTATTTTTCATTTCAATGAACATCTACAGAGATTTTGGAATTCCACTCATTCATTGTTGCACCCCTCTCCCCTCCCCCCCACCTC